CCCTGAAAACCCCGACCCATCCAGATGTAGTTAGCAGTGGCCTTTATTGGGTGGAGAAGTGAGACCGAACTTAGCTTGGTCAGTACCTTTGTCAGGAGTTCGTAGCCCCAGCAGGTGGTGGTTGATAGAAGGTTAGAATGAAGGCTCTGGAGTCTTGACTCCACCCTTGGTAGCTGTGTGACCTTGGGCAATGTATTTAACCTTTATGAACCTTGGTCTCCTTAATAAAGTAGGGACGATGATTGGACTGACCTCTTAGGGCACTTTCGAGATTTAAATGAGGCACTGTACTCAGGGCACCTTATATGTATTTTCTGACTCAGAATAAATGCTCAAACAGTAGCTGCTATGATTTTCTTCATAACCAATCTATCCACACTTAAGACTCTGTCAGTACGCAGGTACTAGATTAATCTTGTCTTGTGGGCTCTCTCCAGGACTTGGAGCCACCCCAGCTAGAGTACAGTTTTGGGGATCCAGATGAAAAGACACTTTTCTTTTTTTTAATATCCACAGCTAACTGGCCGGTGTGTTAGTGACACCTGTAGGAGGCTTCAGTGACACTTGCGTGAGTCACAGGTGGGCGGCAGCAATCCTGCACACGGTTTGAGTTCCCATCTTATCTTTTGCTCCTTAGCAGCGACTCTTGCTTTTTATTAGTACTGGGTAGACTGTCCACTTGTCCAATGATTATGTCATTGCTAAAATTCCCCAAGTTGGCAGAAACTGCATGGTAGAGCACTAGCGGTCCGGGGTTCTGGTTTCCTGGCTCTGGCCGGCCACCATATAGCTGTGGGGTATTCAGCAAGTGGCCTCGCTTCTCTGGGCCTTCCTCTGAAAAACAAAGGGATCGAACTGAAGGGCCTGGAAATTTCCTTCTACTTTGAACCTTTGTTGCAACCAATGCAAATGTCCAGATGCTCTTGTTCCTTCCTGCAATGGATTACGGGGTGGAGTGGAAGTCGAATCAGATGGCCATGACAGCAGACTCTCATCTGGCAGCCTCAACAAAGGCCAACTTTTCTAACACCCTCTGCACCCCACCCCCCCACCCTGGTGATGACTGTGGAACACCCACGTGTTTCCGAGTGCTTCACAGTCACAGCTGGCCTGGGCCAGGGTCTAATGAAGGTCACTTATCAAACTCATTCATGAGTAGCCTCTTAAAATTCTCTCCGTAGAGCTATTTCCATGAAAGCCATTAGTGTTCATGAGTCATGAAGATATTTAAAATTTTTCCCGGGTTGCATCCTACAGGTCAAACCCGGCCCTCCTAACATTTTCTTCTTCGGTATTGTTCTAAGCAGAGCCTCAGCTCTTCAATTTGCTAACTGAGCTTCTCTGCTGTGAGTGAACTAACTGCCAGGCAGCCTGTGTGTGTAGGGCTCTTATTCAAATAATGTATTACTACCAGGGCCTGGGTCCTTTGTTAGAGTTTGAAGGTAAAACTTTGTTGGTTGTGCCAAAGATTTCTAGGCATCATCTTTCATATGATGGTGAAAACCAGAAAGTCATAAGTTGGCTTCTGACTTTTAAGGTCATGTGTCCTATTATGACGCTGGGAAGCATTCTCACTGTTAAGCCCTCCTCAGATGTATGTGTAAACTCTTGGATGCCACCTGAATTTCCCTAGCCTAGCCTGGTGCCTGATACCCTTTCTTTGAGGAATCTTCCCTAGGACTCCTTGGAGAAATCATACTCTTTGCCTTGCATGCCCAGAGTGCTTTAACCTCTGTCACTTGTTGCCATCTGTCTTGAATTGGAGTTTGTAATGAACATGTCTGTTTATCTGACTAAATCAGAACCCCTGAATTTGGTGTGGGCCCCCTGCCTCCAGAACTCAGCCTCCAGAAGGTACTTCATCAGTGTTGAATGGACTATATCCTGCTAGTGAGGGTGTCATAGAATGCTGCCTCTTTGTGTATGTTTTAGAAAATGTTTTATGAAATGCCTTTCAAAGAGGCCATGAGTTTTGCGATCTTTTAGGAAGCCCCAAAAATTTGATTCCTTGGGCTTAGTAGAGAAATGGACTGTGAGCAGCCAGAAGGAACATTCGTTAGTTGAGGGAGATTTGACCCGTCTATGATGGCTGCTGTAGTCACTTCTCTCTGATTTGCAGAATGGCTCAGCCGTGTCGAGGGGAAGATGTGTTATCATTTAGCTTCAGATTTGGCTGAATGTAACAGAAGGGCCCTAAACAACACTGGCTTAAACATGAGACTTTATTTTTTCTGTCATGAAACAAGTCAGGAGGTAGGCAGTCTAGGGCAGGAACCTAACTTACTGTTTCTCCATCCTTAAGAGAGTTACCTCATGATCCAAAATGGTTTTTGAACCACAGCCGTTGTATTAACATCCCAGATGGAAAAACAAAGGAGCACTCCTGGAAGTCTCACTCAATGTTCATTTACATCTCATTGCCTAAAAGTAATAGGGGCACTAGTTATAGTGACAACTGGGAAATAGAGTCTTTAGCTGGGACATCACCTCACCCTGAGACATAAAGACTCTATTACCAAGGAAGTTGGAGAGAGGCTGAAGGATAGACAACAGATGCCCAGCACTTACTTGAATGACTAAGTGGATAAGTGATGGAGAAATGCCATCTGGTTTCTGTGGGTTAAGTGTAGACCGAACCCTCATATTAGTAGGATCCATGATGTGACAAGGCAGGGATGCTTCTGATACCACCATGCAGGAGGGAAGGAATGTTGTGGAGACTTCAGAAACTCAGTAGGAACTTGACAGAGAGCATGTTTTGCAAGGCCCCTTCAGCTGGGCTCCCTCTGCTACTTTTTTTGTAGAGATCTGGTTCCCTGGTTTGGAACTCAACAGATTCATGGCAGCAGGTGAGGAGGTGCTGGCTGGGGTTCAGCACATTTCAGAAGGTCCCCAAGGAGCATCTCTTTTTTGTTGTTTGAGGAAAGAAAAGCTTTCTAAGCAGAGAGACCAGAGGGAAGAGAGTTTACCCCTAAATGTTGCTGAACTGAAATACGAAAATTTCCTTAAAAACATGTAGAAATGCCTTCTTAGAAAATGTTAGCATTCTGTGGGGTTCATTATTGTGGGCTGGTGTTGGTTTGACACCTGTAGGTAGTCTGTAGTGCAGGCAGCTTTTAAGTGACAGGTCTCCGTGCTTCTGCCCTTCCCCTGCAGCACATCTGGGCAGTTGGAGGGCCCCATGAGGGCTGCCCTCACAAGGAAGAACCACGGGTGGTCCTGCAGGCACGGAGTCTAGAGCAGTGAGTTGTGTTGCTGAGGGCACATTGCACTATCTTGTCACTTCTCAGTGGGTTGGTCAGTTCTATAGAGGGCGGGTCCCGTGTCCCCAGTGTGTAGCTGAGGCATACCTGCATAGACATGTGGCCCCAAGGCACACAATTGGTCCACAGCAGGCAGGTCCCTGGGCCACTGGTCGAAGCTTTAGCTTGGCATTCATTCATTGAAATCCGGGTCTTGTCAAGTCTCTTATAGGTACTATGTTTCATAATGCTACCTTCTTCTGGCCCCCCCATCAATCCCACTGTCATAAATCATCTCCATCCTCAGTTCAAGATCATCTTCGTGTATGAAGTCATCCTCAATTCCTCTACTGGAAATAATTTCTCCTTCACATCTCCTTACTATATGTACTCTCCTCCGTCCTGTGGCACTCTCATACACGGCTTTGTATTACAGACTTCTGAATGTCTGTTTCAGCTCCTTGACCGCATGGTCATCACCCGGAGGGTCAAGTATGGTATCCAGTCCGTGTTCACTGAATGATGGAGAGTGGCACTCATGGAGTCACAAAGCCATTCCTTGCCCTGGGGGCTGAGGGGCTCCAAGTCTGATTTTATTTCCCTTAACCATCTTCAAAAAATGTCCTCAGCCTGTGGCTTCTGACAACTTCCTCTAAGTCATGTGAGACTCGCTCCGGGGATGGGAGGGGGGCCCTGTTGTTCCCTTCCCCTCCTCAGTCCCAGGGGCTGCCCCGTGGGTGTCCCCCCTGACTTATGTAACTGATGTGGGCATCTGGTTAACCGAAGACGGGCCAGCACTTTGGGAATGGCTTGCCTATGCTCTGGCGGGGAATTCAACGTGTCCCTGTGAGAGTGGTGACCGGAGGATTGGTTGCTGGATTCTGAGGCAATCACATGGCCCACTCTCGGGGAGGCGTGTCTGCTGTATAAAAGAATTAAAACGTAGTCCCAGTAAAAAGAAACAGTTGAAATAGATTTTAATAAGATATTTTGTTTAAGCCAATATATCCAAATCACTGTCATTTCTTTATGTGGTCAATATGGAAATTATTAACTTTCTTTGTACTAAGTCTTTAAAATTTGGGGTATTTTACGCTCAGCTTGGATTAATGACATTTCAAATGCTCGGTAGCCACATGTGGCTGGTGATGGTCTAACATGGTCAGCTGCAAAGTATATTGAATCTCCCACTTGATGGTCTTTGAAAGCAAGTGTGAATTGAGTGGGGGGTCTGTCTGGCAGAGTGACAGCACGGGGGCGGGACTTGCAGTACCTGGAGTCTGGTCACAGCTCTGCCTCTCACCAGCGTTGTGGACTTGGGAAAGGCCCGGGTCTCTAAGAGCCACAGTACCCACCTGTAGAACGACACCGTTGGACTGTGATCTCCCAGGGCCTTTCCGGTTCTGATGTGTCTTGAGTTGAGCCGTGGATCTGGGCAGGGATGCTGTATCCACTAGGGCATCATCGCCCAATGAGAGCTACTCTATGGAATGCCCTTGTTGGCCATACTTGGCACATGAGGGACTGGTTTGCCATCTCTGACTCTGACCAAGTTAAGCATGTTTATCTAGTCCATTGGGTTCCAGGCTGTGAAATTTGTCCATTCACCTACCCATCCAGCATTTATAAGGACCAGTTTATAAGGCGCCAGACCTGTTCCCAAAATGGACAGCCAGAGATGGACAGGGCCCTTGGGATGCTCATCTTTTGGAGCTCCTGCCATTTCCTGAGGTCTCACGAGGGGTCTTGTTCACACAGGCTCAGCTGGAAGCTCAGAAAGCCACGCAGGACTTCCAGAGGGCCACAGAGGTGCTGCGTGCCGCCAAGGAAACCATCTCCCTGGCTGAGCAGAGGCTATTGGAGGATGACAAGCGGCAGTTCGACTCGGCCTGGCAGGAGATGCTGAATCACGCCACCCAGAGGGTATGAGTCATAACAGTGTGTGGCTGTGTGAGGGGAGTGTGCTTGGAAGTGCACACATGCATCTGTGTTTGCAAGTATCTGTGTGCATGTGGGTGTCTGCATTGCGGTGCCTGTGCACCGTGGGTGGGTGTGAGAGCATCCTTCACACTGTCCCTTGTCCAAATGATCCGCTGGTTCTGGTGAGCTTTGTGTGCACTGTTTTCCCCATGCAGAGGAAACAGACTCCCAGGCATGTTGCCTAAAAATGCTCTCTGAAAGTCACAGGTTATCTCCATGGGGTCTCTGTTAGGCCTGGTCCTAAGCTATAGTCGGGTATGACTGTCACCTAGTGGCAGGTATAGCTGCTCCTTCCTTGTGTTACTTGTTTGTCTGTTCAGATCATCCCTGAGGGTCTTGACTGTGATTGGGGCTTCCCAGAGGAACTGGGGTCCCCTCCCACTGAGACCAAGGGATCTCTTGGGTTTGGAATCCAGGTGGAAGACCTTGATTAACAGCCCCCCAAACCA